AGGTGGAGAAGCTGATGGCATTATGAGGAGGTCTGGGGAGTCTCAGAAACTCCATTTGATTGGCTGTGTCTTAATGTGAACACAGTTCCCTCAATGAGCCACCTGGCCATGTGCTCTGCTTCTCTCACACACCTGGTCAGCTTTTTCTCCTCTGGATATTCAAGGTCTGACTCAGGGCACGGTATCTACCTACAGTGACCTTGGAATGCAATAGAAATGGGGCCAGTTTCTCTTTGTCTAGAAGGTCTTAAGGTCTCCTTTGCCATCACTCCTTCCTCTCCCACTAGCCGTTTAGCCCCATCTGCACCTGGGACATGCATGTGGCTTCCTATAAAGTCCATGGAAGTGTTCCCATCCTAACCTGTGGGCCACTGGCTTTCATCCTCCAATAGTCCATCCAACTTAATTAAGTCATGGGCTGCCTTGACTCCAGAGTCTCTGGGTTCTTAAGCCTTCAGTATCCATGGGGAATGACTCTGCTCAGAGATAGCTGTTCACTGTGATCCCCCAACAATACCCCCCCTTTTGTGTTTGTGTGTGTGTGTGATGCTAGGCATAGAACTCAGGGCCTTGTCCATGCTACATAAGTGCTCTACCACTGAGTAGCACCTTCAGGTCCTAAGATACCTCTGGACATGAGAGGAGACTCTCCTGTCTAGTGGAGAATGACCAGTGTGGCTAGGAAAAGGTTGGGGAGTCCTGCTGGTCTGTTGATCACTACGTTCTTGTTCTTCTTTTTTTTTTTTGGGGGGGGGAGGGATACCAGGGATTGAACTCAGAGGCACTTGACCACTGAGCCACATCCCTAGCCCTTTTTTTTTTTTTTTTAGTTATTGATGGGCCTTTCTTTTATGTATTTATATGCAGTGTTGAGAATTGAACCCAGTGCCTCGCACATGCTAGACAAGCACTTTATTACTGAGCTACAACTTCAGCTACCACAGCCCTATTTTGTATTTTATTTAGAGACAGTCTCACTGAGTTGCTTAGCACCTTGCCCTTGCTAAGGCTGGCTTTGAACTTGTAATCCTCTTGTCTGAGCCTCCAGAGATGCTGGGATTACAGGTGTGCTCCACAGTGCCCGCCTACCATGTGCTTTCTTGCCTCAAACAGGTTCCCCAAGCTAAGCAACCCCTCGCCTGGAGGTCTGTGTGTTTCTGGCTTCTGTAGAGGTCACTTGGAGCCTCAGCTACCTTCCTCTGAGAAAGGGCAGGTCAGCAGAGATGCTCAGTACTAAAGATGGAAGCCACTTTAGGGATTATTGGACATCCCTGTCTATTTTTTCTCTCCATCCAAGTCCTCTTCTCCTTCCCTCTATTCTTCCTTCACTCTCACCCTTCATTTATCCATGAGGAGTTTTACCTCCTGGAATGTATTTTTCTTTCTTTCTTTGTTTCTTTATTTTTTTAGTACAAGGGATTGAATTCAGGAGCACTTAACCACTGAGCCACAGCCACAGCCCTTTTTATTTTTTTATTTTGAGAGAGGATCTCACTAGGTTGCTTACAGCCTCACTAGGTTGCTTACAGCCTTGCTGATTAGCTGAGGCTGGCTTCCAATCTGTGATCTTCCTGCCTCAGCCTCTCCTGCATCACCAAGCCCGGATGGAATGTGTTTCTTATTGACACCTGAGCACTGAGAACCAAATCCAAATTGGATTCACAAACTCCTTATGAAGTTTAATCAACCTTGAGGGGAAAACCGGCCAGATTTTTCAATCTGGAAGTGGTAGGTGAGGGGTGGGGAAGGCCTGTACCAGCTGGTTCCCCCTCTCACCTCTCCAAGACCATTTCTTTTTACAGGTACACAGAGAGAAATCTATATTATGAGTCATCTAAGTGAAAAGGGAAGATAGGAGGGTGTATAGGAGTGGAGCAGCATTTTCTGAGTAGAAGGAAGTTTAGAGTTCATTTTATTCCAAGTCCTCTAAATTCAGCGAGGAAACTGAGGCACAGAAAAGGAGGTGTCATTAATTGGGAAGCCAGAGCCAGACTGGGAAGCCTAGAACCCTAGTCTATGGCCTTTTAGTGTACCCCTAACTGTTCCTCTCAGCTTCCCCACCTCCTCACTCCCTGCAGACTAAAACCAGAGGGCTGACTCCTCCATTTAGGTCACAATATTTGGATTTGGGAAAAGAGCTTAGTTTTCAGGTCCCAGGGGGAGCCTGTTGCTGAGAAGTCGTGCCTTGGTCTGCAGTGAGCAGCGGAAGCTATGTAAATTGAGATTAAGGGAGATCATCTCCAAGGTAGGCCAGGCCTGAAACTTCTCTTCTCAACTCGTGTGTCTTCCCCTTTTTTGCCTTCAGATTGTCAGAACCCAGAAGTCAAAATTAGCAGTTTCCTAGCTCTGGTTCGATTAGCCCCCTCTGAGTCATTTCAACTGGTTTTCCAGTCAAAGCACAGCCCTTAACCGCAGGGAGGGGTGGCTGGTTTCTCGGTAGCAAAGCCACCCATCATACCCTCATAATTTTACAGCCATGCCAGTGTGCCACAGGAGGTGTGGTGGAACTCACCTACTGTCTCTGGGTCTCCAGCCAAAGGTCCTTGACAGTGTGCTAAATGATTTATGTGAAGAGTTTTGTCAGCCCAGTTCCCAAATTCCAGGTCAGACTCCAGCAAGCATGGGCTGACCTGCTTCACATATCCAGTCACAAGGCAGCCAGGGCCTCTTGCCCTAGCCAGAAACACTGCCTAGAACAACCACAAATTATAAACCAAAAAACAAGGGTGGTATTAAATGAGGAAGTTGGGGCAGAGGGCACCTGGAAAGCAGAGGCAGCAAGTGGGGGTTTCTAGGAGTTAAGAGAAGGGCAAGCTCTGGTGTAGGGATTTCAGCTTGCCCCTCCCCCTCTTCCAGGAGGCCGTCTTCTAGGCAGACAGCAGAAAAATGCATGACAAAGGTGCCCTGATGGCTCGGTCCTGGGGGCTGAGGAGATGGCAGGGGAGGGGCTCCTCCAGTTTCAAAACTCATCTCTTCACCCCCGCCAGGCCCCTTAATCAACTGCCTTTGGGGAAGTTAATGGCTGAGATGTGAACATGGCTCCAGTTCCACAGCCCTGTAGATCTTCAAACTGCCCAATGGGGAAGCACTGATATGCATGCCTATGGTTAGACACCCAAAAAGTATACATGGAAGGGAGAATGGGCACATAAGCAGGGGCAATATAACAGACTCAGAGGGAAAAATACAAGACAAATTAAAAAGACTCATAGATACCTCCAAGATAAAGATAGCTGGCCACAGTCAAGGGGCTCCCAAGGGACAGTCTCCCAGAAGGCAGACAGAGCCACTGACCTTAGCAAATAAAACCAAATTGGGCTAGGCCTGGAGTCAGTAGAGGTCCCACACTCAAAATTCTGGCCTTTCAAGCTTTGGGGAACTCTGGTCCAGAGCCTTTCTGGATCCCACTGATTTATTCTGGGGCCTTTCTTCATTTAGGGCAAGTTTTAGGAGTAGACAGACAAATATTATCCCGTGCAGGCAGGCACTCCAATGGCTATTCTCTTGCAAACCGAATGGAGCACTAGGCCAGCAGCATGAGCCCTCAAGATGCTCAGATAGGCCCAGAAAAATAGACTGAGGACAGCTTAGGGAAGGTTTCCTGCACCCCTCCTCCAAATCACTATCTTCTCAGTGTCTTTCCGCTGCCTGCCAGTCCCCCTAAACAAAGCACATCCCGTGACCTGGGGGGCTGGGGGATGGGTGGGTGCCGAGGCTGGATACCTAGTCTCCAGAGGAAGAGGGTACTGAATCCTGGGTCCTGGCAGGAGGCTCCCGTTGCCTGTCTGAGGCTCAGTCTTTGGGGGATAGTGGGGGGGCGGTTTGCTGGGGCGCTCAGAGGGGGATTGTGTGTGAGGGATTGGAGCTGGGCGGGGGTTGGGGAGCAGGAAGTTGTCCCCAGGGGAGCCATCCTGGTCCATTCAATGGCTGAGCACTTGTTTAGGGTTAGAGCTGCCCCCTCTGGGGACTGGGATTGTACAGCCAAGGCCATTGTCCTGCCCCTTCCCCCAGTGCCTCCCAGGCCTCTTTGAACCTGAAGTCAGATATTTTTTTTCTCCACATACCCCCCACCTCTTTGGTTTTCTCCACCCAGGAACTAGGATTGGAGGCCTGGATGGGGAAGTGGGGGAGGGGGAATTGGGCCTGCTGCTGTATTAAATGTCTGAGTCTCTGGTCGGGAGGAATGGGGGCCTGATGTTCAGGTCTTTTAGTTGTCAGTTCCCTCCGTCTGGATCTGGGTTGGAAAACAGGCTCAGTCAATCCAGAGCCTGGTCCCTATAAGGGGAAGTGTGTGTTTGGGGCGAAAATAATTAGTGAACCTGTTAGGTGAGGAGACTCTGGAGCCACAGGACCAGGGTATGGAATAGAGGCTTTGTGGAATATGTGGCAGGCTAGGTAGATTGGTGGCAGGCATCTGAGCCTGCAGGATAACTGGATTTGGCCAGTATCTGCAGAGGAAGGACTAGGTTTCTGGATGGGGGTAGGGGAGCTAGAGGGCAGCTGGCCAGTGTGTTTGTGTTTGTGGTTGTTAATGAATCAAGGGTGGCCCCTAAAAGTGCTTGGCACATTCGTGTTCAATAAGTGCTTAAAGAGCTGAGAGTGTGGCTGGGTGAACCCCAATGAGAGGACAATGTGGAGGGTCTTTGGAGAGGAGGTCAAGCACCTGGCTCATGAAGAATACAGAAGAGGGGATCCCAGACATCTCTGAGATGTACCTGGCTTGAGAGGGCTGGGCAGCTACTTGGGAGTTGAAGGGGAAGGCCCCAGGGGGTCTTAGAGAGGTGCCCAGTTGGATATCCCCTGATTTCTCCTACCACTGACAGCACCTCTACCAAAAGGCAAACATTCTTCGCCTCAGTTTCTCCCACCCCCACCACTCTCTCCTCCACCCATCCAGGGGGCGGGGCCAGAGGTCAAGGCTAGTGGGTGGGATTGGGGAGGGAGAGAGGTGTTGAGCTGTTCCTTGGTGAGCCCTTATTTTTTCAGGGCCCCGGCTTGGGGTGCCCTTTTAACCCATGGCCGGACATCTGGCTTCGGACTTTGCCTTCTCGCCCCCTCCGGGCGGTGGGGGTGATGGGCCAGGAGGGCCGGAGCCGGGCTGGATTGACCATCGGACCTGGCTAAGCTTCCCAGGCCCTCCCGGTGGTCCAGTAATCGGGCCAGGAGTTGGGCCAGGTTCGGAGGTGTGGGGGATTCCCTCATATCCTCCGCCCCATGAGTTCTGTGGAGGGATGGCATACTGTGGACCTCAGGTTGGAAAGGGCCTGATTCCCCACGGTGGCCTGGAGACCTCTCAGCCTGAGGTTGAGGTGGGAGCTGGGATGGAGAGCAACTCTGAGGGGGCCTCCCCCGAGCCCTGCATTGCTCACCCTGCTGTTGTGAAAGTGGAGAAGGAGAAGATGGATCAAAACCCTGAGGAGGTGAGTGAGATGCCATGGGGAACTGGCTGGGCTGGCAAGGGCAGAGATGAGGGGGAAGTGGTCACCTGCAGCTGCCCAGGCCTGGAACCTGAGGGGTGCAGGCAGGATTGTCTACCCTAGGCATGGAGGGGGGTGTGTGGTGATTGCTGGCACTCCTGAGAGGCAAGATGAAAACTAGAAGTTGAAATTACCAGGAAGAATCTGCAGCTGAACAAGACAGGTCCTTTCTTCACCTCTGGCCCTTATCTGCCCAGGGTCAGTTCACTCACTCAATACCAGGCTAGCACCGGCTTGGGCCTGGGGTAGGTTTGGACTCTCCCGCCCTTAGCCCTTTTGGAAAACTTGATCCTTATCAAATCTAGGATCTTGGCCTTAAGGTTGAGCGTGGCCTGAAGGTAAAAACAGTGCTTATCCCAGAGTTATTGTTCTTGAAAGGGTAGGGTGTGCCTAGTTTCTGATAGGAGGTCCTGTTTGGATCTTGTGTAGACTTGTGGAGTATGGTTTACCTCCAGTCAAATTTAGGGCCTGTAGGTCTTTGACCTCTCTCTCCTGCCTGTGAGTCACCATGATATTAATCACACACCTTGGTGTCCCCTTGTAGGGAGTTGGAAGTACTAATTTGATCAATTTCAGCCTCACTTCCGTAAGTTATAAAGAAGAAAATCTTGGGAGAAGTTCCCTACAGGCCTTTTTGTAAAGTGCGCAGGGTTTGCTGAGGGAGAAGAAGGCCTCCAGCCCCCCTGGGGACTAAGCATCTTCCAGTCCTCCAAAGCAACAAGTGTAAGCTATTAGAGAGATCAAGTACAAAGCCTTCGCCCTCAGAGTAGGTGTAAGTGGATTCAGGTGTGAGAGAGTAGCCCCAGTCTCTTTACAGGAGGTGATTGTTGAATAATAATGGCTGGCAATTGGGGTCCACTTCCTAAATACCTGGCTGTGTGCTCAGTTTATACATCATTATCTCATTAGCTATCACAGAAATTCCTAGGGAGGCATTATTATTTCACGTGTCCCAACTGTTACATGAGGCAAAAATAGGATTTGGAAAAGCTAAGAAGACACTGGCTGAGCAGAAACTGGGATTGAAAATTTGTCTGTTTGAATCTGATACAGTCACCATTGAAATACTTTCCTTAAGCATTCCCAGACTGCAAAGGCTATGTATGTAGGTTTTTACTAGCTGCTTCTGCTCTGTTCCTACACTGGAGTGCCCCAGGGCTCAGTCCTTAAACCTCAACTTCTGTTCTATCTACCCTTCCTTCCTCTCACCCACCCTCAAGGCTCACGTGCCATTTAGACATCAAGTGACAACTGCATTTTTTGGTCTTCTTTGTTGGCCCCCACCGCCCCACCTCATCAGTTGCTTATGGCCAGAACCCGCTGTTTTTGCTCCTTTCCCATCCTACAACTTAGGAAACAATGTTATCTTTACCTTCGAAGTTCATCCTGCGTCTAACATGTCCTACTTCTCTGGTTCCAGCCACTAATGTCTGGGACCACAGCAAAAGCCTTCCTAGTTAAACCTTTGCTTCCTCATAGTCTCTAGACAACCCATCAGTTTGAGTCAGTGTTTTAAAATACCCAAGAAGAGTTGGATCATTTCACTTGGTAAATTGAAGTTGCTATTGCATCTGCAAGATCTGTCAGCTCTTTTTCCTCTGAACTCATCAAATGTCACTTTCTTTGAATTCTTATTTTAAATTGTCATCCTCCAGGGCTAGGGGATGACAATTTAAAATAAGGCTCAGTGGTGGAACACTTGCCCAGTATTCAGAGTGTTCTGGATTCAATCTCCAGCATCACCAAAAAAAAAAAAAAAAAAGATAATTTCCTATCCTGCTGTACTCCATTCCTATACCCTACCCCTACTTGATTTATTTCCTTGGCACTTCTATGTAGGATAGTAATTTATTTTGCCACATTAGTATGTAAACTTTATAAAGTCAAGACTTTTTTGTCTACTTTGTGTAACTACCAGTTTATAGAAGGTACTCAATAAATCTGTTGATTTACCAGTGAGGGTGCTTATATATTACAAAAAAGATAGTTAAAAATTAAGCATAAATGAGACTTTAAGATTGATAATCAAGTATGTAGAAAATACTATTCATGTTTTTTTTGTTTATTTGCAGTGCTGGGGAACTGGTGTTTAAATCCAGTGTGAGGAGGGGGTTGGTTTACAGCTGAGCTACATCCTCAGGTCTTTTTTTGTGTGTTTTTTAAAAAAATCTTTACACACTTTTTATTGGTGCATTATAGTTGTACATAATGATTCCCCAAGACTTTTTATTTTTATAATACTGGATATTGAACCAAGGGCACTCTACTAAACTATATCCCTATCCCTTTTTTATTTTGAGACAGGAGCTTACCAAGTTGCTCAGGCTTAGCCTTGAACTTGGGATCCTCCTGCCCCCAGCATCCTGAGTTGCTAGCATTACAGGCATGTGCCACTGTACCTGGCTAATTACTGTAGTATGTTTGTGTCTGCATGTCGTGTCCTAGTTTGGGGCCCTGGAAACAAAACAGAGGGGCTGTATTGAACTTAGATTCAGACAGATATCATCCTCTATTTCTCTTTTTTTTTTTTTTAAAGAGAGTGAGAGAGAGAGAGAGAGAATTTTTTAATATTTATTTTCCATTTCTCGGTGGACACAACATCGTTGTTTGTATGTGGTGCTTAGGATCGAACCCGGGCCGCACGCATGCCAGGCAAGCGCGCTACCCCTTGAGCCACATCCCCAGCCCATCCTCTATTTCTCTATTCTCAAATGGGGGTGGCGGGGGAGTGATTTGTGAGTCAGAGTCCGTCCTAAGGCCAGAGTTAGCAGGCAGGAGTCATTACATAATCTGTCAGGTGTTCTCATGGAGCCTAGGCCCGTCTTTTCGTCCCTTGCATAGTGTTTAATATCTATTAGATGTGCCAGTTTCTGGGGGAAGAGCAGTAAATGAGTAAACTAGACATTTATAAATGAGCTATTTCTAGAGGTTATGTGGGTGTCTTGGGAGGCTGAGATACTTCACAGACCATTCCTTGCGGCCTCAGTCAGATTCAAAAACCCGGTGTGGTTTTTGGGGTTTTTTTGTTTGTTTGTTTAGAGTGTGTCTATGTTCTTATAAGTCCTCTGCCATTTTTTATGCAGTCCCAAGATATCCAAGCTTTGCAGAAAGAACTTGAGGAATTTGCCAAGCTACTGAAGCAGAAGAGGATCAATCTGGGATACACTCAGGCCGATGTGGGGCTTACCCTGGGGGTTCTCTTTGGTGGGTCCCCCTCAGCATGTTCTGATCCACAGGGACCGCATCTCCCCTGAATTTTAGGTCTTCTCCACTAAGAAAGTGTGGGCAGGGTGTCAGGGCAGTTCCTATCCCCACTCCTCTCTGGGGGTATGGGGGAGGGAGGGAGAAGACACTTGGTCTTGAGCTGCCTCTGGGAAGAAGCTGGACTCTGGTTTGGGAGCTTGTGAGGACCACATGGGTCTTGAGGTTACCAGGGACCCTGCCTAATGTGCTTCTTTTTCAATTGGCCTCTCCCAGGGAAGGTGTTTAGCCAAACGACCATCTGCCGCTTTGAGGCTCTGCAGCTCAGTTTCAAGAACATGTGCAAGCTGCGGCCCCTGCTGCAGAAGTGGGTGGAGGAAGCAGACAACAATGAGAACCTTCAGGAGGTGAGAGTGGGAAGGATGCACTGGGACCTGTTGAGTAAGCCCAGTCTCCATTGCTTCCCTCCCTGGCCTGCAGCTCTTGCTCTACCACGTGGGGGCAGCAGTTTCTCTCTCTTCCTTTCTTTGTCTGCTAGGGATTGAATCCAGAGCCTGGCCCTTGAATTCTACCATTGAGCTACAATTCCTTCCCCAGCCCAGGGCAGCACTTCTCAATGGGATGGAGTATAATCCTTTCATTCTGTTAGGTGATCTAAACCCTCCCTTCCAATTTCCTCATTTTTCATACCCTCTAGCTCTGGAGACCAATCCAGTCACTGTCTCCTTAGCAATGTGCTTTCATGTCACTGACCTCTCAATGTGGTGCTGTTGTTCAGAAGGTTCAAAGCCTGACCTTGTCACCCCTTCCCTACCTGCCTAGATATGCAAAGCGGAGGCCCTACTGCAAGCCCGGAAGAGAAAGCGAACAAGTATCGAGAACCGAGTGAGAGGCAACCTGGAGAACATGTTCCTGCAGTGCCCAAAACCCACCCTGCAGCAGATCAGCCACATTGCTGAACAGCTGGGGCTTGAGAAGGACGTGAGTGCACCTATCCCTGTCCATGCCATCTCTCTGCCTCCCCAGTTGCCACTCCCTTTTCTCTAGCTCTAGCTTCTCCTCCTGCCACTTGGGCTTTGGGTGAAATGATCAAGCAAAGCCAGAGTTGGGTCTGGCTTATGGTCTAATGTCACTCTCCTGTGTCGTCCACTCCCAGGTGGTCCGAGTGTGGTTCTGTAACCGGCGCCAGAAGGGCAAACGATCAAGCATTGATTATTCCCAACGAGAGGATTTTGAAGCTGCAGCTTCTCCTTTCTCAGGGGGACCTGTATCCTTTCCTCTGGCCCCAGGGCCCCATTTTGGTACCTCAGGTTATGGAAGCCCTCACTTCACCACACTCTATTCCCCACTTCCTTTTCCTGAGGGGGAAGCCTTTCCCTCTGTCTCTGTCACCACTCTGGGCTCTCCCATGCATTCAAACTGAGGTACCTGCCTTTCTCAGGTATGGGGGCAGAGGAAAGAGGAGCTAGGGAGAGAACCTGACCAGGGCTTTTGGGATTAAGTTCTTCATTCACTAAGGAAGGAATTGGAAGCACAAAGGGTGGGGTGAGGAGTTGGGGAACTGGTTGGAGGGAAGGTGAAGTTCAATCATGCTCTTGATTTTAATCCCCACATCACTCATACTTTGTTCTTAAATAATAAAGAAGCCTGGGACACAGTAGATAGATAAATTTGTCTTTGGTTTATCCTCTTTTAATTATTGAAGGGCACTAGAGAAATCTTGTGTTAGATACTAACTGCTGTCATACCTGTGACCCTGAAACTGACGTGTCATTTCAACTGTTCAAGGTCTTTCCAGCAACTTGGGAGGCTGAGGCAGGGGGATCACAAGTTTGAGGCTAGTCTCAGCAATTTAGCAAGACCCTGTCTCAAAATAAAAATGGACTGGCTTAATGGTGAAGTGCCCCTGGATTCAATCTCTAGAATAAACTTAACTTCTCACTGCCTAAGAGAGTTGAAATTGGAACCCCCGTTTTTTTGGAGAGGATCTTAAAAGCTTAAGCTAGTCCTTGGGGTCCTCGAGAATTTAAATTGAATGCCCACAGATGTAGTTACCATGTTCCCTGTTACCTATTAGGAGCTGATTTTACCTGTGCTACTCTCGAAATCCTCAGTGGCTGTATACTAAGAAATCAAGTCTCTCAGTACAACTTCCACTGCATGTCACCCCAATTAAAAACTCCCCGAGTTGCTTAGCAACTTGCTTTTTTGCTGAGGCTAGCTTTGAACTAGCCAATCCTCCTGTCTCATTCTCCTGAGCTGCTGGCATTATAGGCATGAGCTACTGTGCCCAGCCCCCTTGTATTTTCTTTTTCTAAAATATTTTTATTAGTTATTGATGGACCTTTATTTATTTATTTGCTTGTATGTGGTGCTGAGAATCAAACCCAGTGCCTCACACATGCTAGGCAAGCACACTACCACTGAGCCACAACCCCAGCCCACAGTATTTTCTTGTTACCAGAGTCCATTTAGGTTCCACTTACATACTATTCCTAAGTAACTTGCTATATACCTTCTTATTCCTGGTTCTGCCACTAGTTAATTAGGAGACTTTGGAATGGTTTCCTTAATGTGGGCAAAATGTGGGTTTGGTGAGTCTCAGAAGAAAGAGGATGGACATACAGGTTGCAAGAGAATAGGTCAAAATACAGCTTTTCTCATACAAATTATAGAAAGGATGCAACACTCAGCAATATCAGACCAGATCGGTTGTGTTCAGGGTGGCCGTAGACTCCAGCAGTATCTTGGCTTGGTGCAAGGCCCATTTTACACCATCACATGTATGATATGTACATGGGTTAAGAGGTTAATCCACACTGGACCAGATCAGCTTCTATAGCTGGTTCACCAGCTTTTCTTTTTTCCTGGTGAAGCCTATAAAATTCATCCTTGTGAATTAAATCTCAACTATCTTATTTTAAAGGAAGTAGATATTTTCCCTGTAATTTCCATTCCTCTTTTTCCCCTGTTTCCTATCTCTAGCTTATCCCACATATTCAAGCCTTTCCAATGAACAGGTTTGTATGGTTTATATTTCTCTTCCCTCCTTCCCTTAAGAAACTGGATTAGTTCTCCAAGACCTTACCAAGTCTATTCTTCCCAAAGTTGGAAAACAATATCAGAGCCATAAGAAGAGCAAACAAAGAGTGAATGAAGCTGCTTGGTTTTTATTTGGAAATAAAAGCAAAGCTCTGAAAAGCCAGATCAGAGATACGGTCAGGGAGAGGACTAAGCAGTATAAGGAAGTTGGGGGCGGGCAGGACTGTGCCCTTGGTTTTCCTAGAGTGTATTAGGTAGATGCCATTCAAGGACATTAGCAACTCCCTCTTGTTTCTTCCCAGGCATAGCTTCTGCAGATGATATGTGCTGGATGATATATTCTGGTGTCCATGACAACAAAGCCTTACAGCTTGTAACAGTGGGAATTTCCAGCTCACTGGTAACTTCTGGTAGAGGCTGCACTTTCTTTGGCAGGAAACCACCTTGGCCATGAGGGCCTGCTTCAGGCCCTGAATCAGTGTCCATAACAATGGACCTCTCCTTGTGGTCATTCCCTCCTGTGGAGGGAAGGAAAGAAGGGAAGCATTTCTTAGGATCCATTTGCACACTACTGTGTTCAATCCTGGATAGGAGGTGCCAGTTCTGTCCTCTAGTGCCTTGGTGGTGGATGTTAGGTTTGGATCTCAACACAACACCCTGGGCATCGGAAATCTGCCTCCCTGGCAGCCTGGATGCTGCAGCCAACACAAGCCACATGGTACCAGATGTCACAACCATCACACTGAACCCAGGCCACTGTCTCTTCTTGGGGCAGGCTGCAACAAGGGGCTGCACAAGGTTCCCCATCCCCAATTACAGGGTGAGTCATGGGGGTGCTCACTGGGTGCTTCCGAGGACGGCCACGTCGATTTCTAAAGGAAGCAACAAATACCAGGGTCATTGAAAACCTGTAGGAAAAACCTAGACCTTGGCCCTGGATAATGTAGGGTGGATCTAGAAAGACTCACTAGATAATGTGAGCCTTGGAAATTTAATTCCCTGTCTTTAAGCACTAGAAGAAAGGTGCAAGTCCTCAATGAAAAAAGGGACTTTCTGCTATGGTGGTGCACACCTGTAGCCCCAGTTACTCAGGAGGCGGAGGCAGGAGGATCCAGGTCAGCCTGGGCAATTTAATGAAACCCTGTATCAAAATAGAAGGCTGGGGAATGTGGCTTGATGGTAAGAGTACCCCTTGGTTCAGTCCCTAGCACCAAAAATAAATGAATAAAAAAGATTTAGGATTGGGGTATAGATTAGTAGTAGAGTGTGTGCCTAGCTAGCATGCCTGAGGCCTCAAATTTAACCCCAAACAACAGGATGTCAGTAGACAAGGAGTTCATAACTTTACTTACTGTGCTGAGGGTAGTGCCCAGAACCTCCTACACACTAGGAAAACATTAACACTAAGCGGACCAGGATTCTTTGAGACTGGCTCTTGTCAAATTGCCCAGGCTGTTCTGAAATTTGATCCTCATGTCTCAGCCTCCCAAGTAACTGGGATTACAGGTGTGCACTACCATCCTTTGCCAAGTTTTATTTATTTTTTCCTACACTTATTTTAACCAATGCCGCAATACCAACTTGCTTCCTCCTGTGTGTGTGTGTGTATATATATATATATATATATATAATGTCAGTTAACCCAGCTCCTGCCATTCTGAGATCAATTCTATCTGTTCACCTCCTAAGCAGTGGGGTTCCACAGCCTGAGACTCTTAAAAAGGAATCAAAGGCAGTGAAATACTGAGAGTAGGCTGACACTGAGTGTGCCACTTACCCACTGGGTGTCAGTGGGGTTTTCTCTACACGGAGTTTCTTCCTGGGCTCTGTGAGGACTGGTTGGAGGCTCTCAGGAGCCTCACTCTCATCATCCAATTCTGCCAACACTCTGTGAGCTGATTTTCTCCGATTTCTAGGAGGTGGGGCAGGCGTGGTACCCACTTCCCCAGCTGGAGTGGGAACAGGCAGGTTCTGTGGCCCACCCCCACTCCGGGAGAAGGTGAGAGGCTGGGGCTGGATCTTGCTGAGGCTTCCAATGGAGTTGAGAATCAGTGTAGCCTTAGGAGCAGGGGAGAGGGTGCTGAGGGGCCGCTGTGGGGCCCCCTGGGAGGGCAGCATGGGCAGGAAACCAGCCCTGGCTTCTCCCCTAGACCGTGGGATTGTAATGGCAGCAAAGTCCTGAGGTTTGACCCGGACTTGTTGGAACATGAAGTAGAACTCCGAGGGGCTGGTTCCAGGAGGCTTTTCAGGGCCAAAGGTCAGAAGGTCACCATCACTCAACTCCAATCTGTGGCCCCTTGGGAGTCGGACATTATTGACCAAAGTCCCTGTTGATGGTGGGGCGTGAAACAATGACAAGAACAGAAATGACCAATCAGGGTAGAGGAAAAAAGGACCTGTTTGATTTTTTTTCAGGGGACACAGGAAAGAATCAAATTCTCCCTCACATTCTAAACCTCTTGGCAAATAACACCACCTGTAATCTCCTTAGCTGGAAGCTCCTCCCAAAGTGCTTAGGTCCAACTCTCATGCTTACTTAGTATAGCCTCAGACTGGTTCAGATTCTGGCTCTGCCATTTATCAGCTGTTTATTAACCTTTGTGCCTAATTTTCCTCAGCTGTTAATTGAGGGTGTTAGTGTCATCCATATTGAATGTGCTTTAGAAATATCTAGCTATAGTCTAATGTTTACAGCACTCCCAGCACTGACTTTACCAAAACATTACCAAACTTTATGTTATATAAAGGAAACTAAGACCTGGGGAAGTGGAGTGAGAGGCCTGATCAGGGTTTTACCAGGAGCCAGTGGCAGAACACAACTGAGCCCTAGCCTTCCGTGGCTGCCTTTAGTAGAAAGGAAAGACACATGTGCAGATCATCATTATGAGTCATCTAACAAGAACAAGATACCTCAGCAAAGATGAAAACAGTCAAGCCTGAGCTTGGCCCCAAAACTTGCCCCCTGTAACACTACCCTGGTAATGATCTGTGCCCTTGATCCAGCAAGCCCTAAACAGAGCACTTAAATTCTACAGAGTTGACAGTGCATGCTTCTGATGGAAATTCAAGAACTAGACTGATTGTCCAACTTGACAGGGATTTGGGGAGGCAGATGACAGGTTCCCTTATTCCAACCTGGAACTGCCTTGGGGAAAAGCTACCACCCCTCTCAAGGCTTACCTTGGCTGCTGTGGTCTTCCACACTAACCCTCCAGTCATCACCCCGGCGCTCAGCATGCAGCTCTGCGTGGATTCCAGAGATGAGGCCAGGTTCCTGCTGGGGCCGCAGGGCCACATCGCATAGGTCGGCCCTGCAGCCCAAGCGATAGGTGCAGCCAGCCCCAGTGGGGGGATGGAAGGTGTAGAGATCACCGCCCCTGCCACCCCCTATGCGTAGTAGTTGGAAGCAGGGTAGCATGGGCGGTGCCCCCTCCACACCACCTTATTTCTTAGGAATCCATCACCTTTTCCACTCCTCAGACATGCACCTCTAGCTTTAGTTAATTTTTCAGTTTGAAAAGTGAGTTGGGTTGTGTGTAATTTCAACCTTGAGTACAAAGCTCGAGTAGTGAAAATTCAGAGCTCAATTAGACTGAATGCAATATAAAGTTGATTATCAAGCAAATTTGCAACTAAAGAATTTCCGGGAGGGTACTGGCCCAACGCAAAAACAGGAACACGTCCTATGACGCCTCAGTTAAGCTGGATCCTTAGGCCATCAAACATCCGAGGAGCCTCCAATCTGTGCAAGGCAACGAATCGTATGTTAGGCAGCTTCTGGGAAAATGCAAACTGAGGTGTACAGTGTGTGTGTGAGGTGGGCGGGGGGAGCGACCCTGTTATACAAACATGAAAATGCGATACGAACGTATCACAGTATAATCCGGAGAAGAGAAGCTTGCTGTCAGACTTGCTTCTCCAGATAAGAGCACCCCTCCCATTCGACCGCGCCCCGCTCTTCTGGCCAATTACTCGCTCAGCTCTAACCCAAGTGAATTCACTGTCACTCTTAAAGGACAGTGCAAACGGGCCCCTAAATGGTTCAACAAAATGGATCGAACTCCTTACTTCCCGGCTTCTCTGGATGGGATCAAACGGGAAGAAGTTCCTTGAAATTCCGCAAGGCAAAACGGCCTTTTACGTCCCGGCACCAGCCCAGTTTCAGATCTACCCGCGTAGTGCAGTCGCGGAATGGTCTGTGCTCCAGGCAATATCCTTCTTCTCAAAAAGGCCAGTGCTCCCGCTCCGCTCTCGCAGCAGTTTGACAGCCAGGAAGCTGAGGCAGGGAGGGGCGCAGCCTCGGCGCGCGGGCAGAGTCGACCCCTCCTTCGGAATTCCCGGGTTGACTTCGCGCCGAGTGTGCCCGCCCCCCGTGCCCTTCCTGATTGGCCCTCTTATTTGCCCTCATCCTCTCTATTGGGCGGCCTTCGGGGTGGGTCCCCGATCTCCCGCCTTCCGCCTTTTTTGATTAGTTTAGGAGTTTTCCCGGGTTCCCGGAGTGGGGAGGAGCCGACAGGGCGCGGAGTTGCCCCGATGAGTTGATTGGGCGTAGCCTTAGATGCCACTGCGCATGCGTGCACCCCCCCCCCCCGCCTCCTTCCAGAGCGAAACTGGACGGGGAAGACCCGCTAAAACACCCGCCTTGCGCATGCACACTGAAGGGAGGAGGCCAGGCCCCAAGCGAGGTGTAGGGGGTGTGGCCAAAGGGCTGAGGGGGCTCTCGAGCTCGGTAAGGGGCGTTCGAGAAGAGTCGGTTGGGGGTGGGAAGGGCTAAAGGGGTTCTGGGATGGGTTCACGGGGTTCACAGGGGAAGAAGGTCACAGGGGCCGGGGTAAAGGAAAAGATGAGGTGGTAAAAACAGCTTTAGAGGCTCGCAGGATGAAGAGACCAGGGTATTTGGGAGAGAGTAAAGAGAACAAAGCATAATAATCTGGGAGATGAGGGTGAAAGTGAGGGACCACAATAATCCCTTCAGGAAAAAAGCAGATAGGATGTAAGAGGGGTCGTGGATAGGCATCCCAGGTTAGATAAACAGTGGATGAAATCGGGTGGGAGGGTCAGGGAAAGTCTTAGAAGAGTCCACTCTGTGGGCTGTGGGCCTGAGAGAAGGGCAACAGGACTTGAAACTGAGGGGATAGTAGAGAGAAACTGAGAGAGAGGTTTGGATGAGATACCAGGAAGCTGGCTTTTCTGCCACCTGCTCTAGGCTGCCTGCATTCCCAGGGGTCCTGGAGAGGCGACTAACCCTGTATGTGCCACATTCTTGTGGGGCCAGACCTTGGGTCAGCACTTTAATAGTGAAGGAATCAGAAGTCATGGCTTTGTGGTGCCTTGATGGTCTTCCCCAAGGCCTTGCTGAATCATTGAAAGAACTCTGGAAATTGAGCTCAGGGCCCCTGCATTGTGTACCTCCTTTCTCACCTCCAGCCCAGAGGAAGAAGGTAAAGGCCTTGCCCAGAATCTTAAAAGTGGGAATAAAGCCCTAAGAACCTCAACTTGGCCTATTTCAGTAAATTCTTTCCACATCTTGGTTATTGCCCAGTTCTATAGAGAGGCAGGTTGGGACAAGCAAACGGACATGGGGTATCCACTATCTTTTTTGGGACCCAGGAAAAAGGAACTGAGAGTTGCTAAAACTGGCTGTAATTTAAGGACTATGACTTTGTTACTGTAGGGGCTTGGCTTTTGAAGGTGGCTTGAATATTAAATTGGAGTGTCCTTGTTTCTCCTGTTGTCCAGGGGAAGAAAGATGGCCAGAGAAAGAATGTAGAGCCATCAGCCAACGAGGAGATGTTGCCACCTTCAGGTCAGTGGGGCCAGGCAAGGGGTCCATTGGTTGCCTTTTCCTGGGAAACTAATGACCATCTTTGCTCTTGTGATTCATCAGGTTTCACTGGGCTGATTCCCCCCTCCCACTTCCAAGCCAAGCCCCTTCCAACTCTTTCAAGAATGGCTCCCACGTGGGTCTCAGACATTCCCCAGGTGCAACCACCAGCCCATCAGGATGTCTCAGAGAGGCGACTAGACATCCAGAGGTCTCCAGTGACCACGTGGGAACAGGGTGTTTCTGGAAATGGGCAAGGGCTAGGACGGAGAGGCAGGTAGGGATCCATTGTTTCTGTTTTCTCATTGGTGCTTGCTCGTGACTCTTCCTCTCTGAAGTAGATTCCTTGCCCTGTTTGGCCCTTGGTTCAATAACATACATTTTTACATAGGCAATTATTGGTATCTACAATGCATATATAATAAGGAGTGTTAGACTCCAAGAATAGAGATAAAAAATAAATGAGAGCCTGCCTTAAATCTTCAACTTATAAAGAATATAAATTTCTAAGGGAGGACATAGGTTAATTACAAATATTTGGAAACTACCTGATAAAACAAGATGAAGTGCAGACTAGATATGTAGACGCAGTGCTGTGGTGCATGGGTTCATTCTGATGAAGTAGTTGAAGAAAGCCTTTTTGGAGAACACTCCATTTGATCTGGCATGCACTCTCTGTGAATGTTCTGTGAAAATTCTTTTTTCTTTTTGTGGTATTAGGAATTGAATGTGGTGCGCTTTACCACTGAACTATATGTCCAGTACATTTTATTTTTTATTGAGATAGTCTCACTAAGTTGTGAGGGTCTTGCTAAGTTGCCAAGGCTGGACTCCAACTTGCAATCCTTGTTTCTGGGATTATAAGCACGCGCCACTGTGTGTTCTTTTTTAGTTTTTATTTTGAGACAGAGTCTTTCTTAGTTGCCCAGGCTGGCCCCAAACTTGTGATCCTCCTGCCTCACCCTCCTGAGTTGCTGGGGATATAGGTATGTGCTAATGTGCCCAGAAAGAATTCTTACTCTTTCAGTTTTATATCTCGTTTCCCAAATGTACTATCAATCCAGAGTGAGGATTACATCAAGGAAAAGGATGCATGATGAAGGTATCAGGAGACAGATTCTATTTCTAGTATGGCTGCCAGGTAGGGGATTTTTGGCAACTCACTTATTTTCCCTAGCCTAAAAAAAAAAAAAAGTAAAGTATGGTTCTTAGTGAGGGAGTTGTCTCAGCCATGTTATGAGCTGGTTTAAATTTAAATGACACCAGTAAAGTATTCTCCAAAGGTTGGGAGTGTCTCATTTATTATTCTGCCCTCTCAGATTCCTCATACAGTAGGCCAAACACTCTGTAAAAGCCTATACCTAGCATCTGGACTTGCCATATTGATACTGTAAGCCCAGGAAAATTTACCCCTAAGCCCATGCTTCCCTCATTTTTCCTAGTGTTAAATCAAAATTCAGAAGTCTTACATGTTTTTCTAATCTCTTCACTCAGAACTTGTGGCCTCATGATGTGTGCATTTGATGTTTGATACATCTGCCTGTATGTAGGTCTCCAGAAAAATCATGTTCCATGATCTCACTAGCCATTAAGTCCTGTGAATCCAAATAGTGGACCTATTATGCTTAGTAGGGCCTCAATGAATGACAATGATGATGTGAATATAGAGATTCCCATGCCTCAACTTCATCTCCCACCTCCCCATGTAAGGACAGAGGGGTCCTCTTGTCTCCATTTATGCCCTTGGCCTCCCTCTTAGTACAAGAGACACCTTTTTGTCTGTGCCATCCTGTCTTTGAAGGTCCCTAGAGCAGCAGGGGTCTCATGCCCTGAGCCAGCAGGCTGAGCTGATCTTTCAGCAGCTACAAGAGTTACGGCAGCTAGAGGATGAAGTCCAGGTCCTGCGGGAGACCTCACTGCAACAAAAGATGAGGCTGGAGGCCCAGGCCATGGAACTGGAGGCTTTGGCACGGGCAGAGAAGGCTGGCCGAGCTGAGGCTGAGGGCCTGCGTGCTGCCTTGACTGGGGCTGAGATTGTACGTAAGAAGCTAGAAGAGGAGAGCCAGCAGGAGCTGGAGGAAGTTCAGAGGCTGCACCAAGAGCAGGTGAATGTAGGGGCAGGATGGGTTCAGACTCATAACAGGGTAGCTGGGCAGGAACTTCCTAGCAAAGAGTCATTATCAGACGAGATCCCCAAGAGCAGTTAAGCCATGAGATCTTTGGCAAAGGAGTGAAACAGGCAGCTTAGAAAGACAGAGAATCTAGGTGTTTTGATCTTATTCAGATTGTTTCTCAGGACTCAGGTGACCTCTCACCAGAAGGAAGTAGGTACTTTGATTCCAATGTGGTGGGGGACTGTGAGGAAGGTGGGTGTGGCCCCTATAGAGGAATGGAAAAGGAGAGGTAATTCTGTTGGAAACCCAGTACTTCTCTTTGCCATCCCTGAGATAGGAACTGGGGACTTGATAACCAAATTGCCTATGAGTTTCTGTCCTCATGAATGAAACTGATAAGTGATCTGTCTTTCTTTGAGGTCACAGACAGTGGGAGTGGAGAGACAAGGCCAACACAGGAATAGTTTGGAATACCCTGGTATAAGGTTGAGCTGAGCCCACTCTTCTCTCCTCAGCTATCCTCCTTGACACAGGCTCACCAGGAGGCTCTTTTTAGTTTGACCAACAAGGCTGAGGGCTTGGAGAAGTCTCTGAATAGTCTGGAAACCAGGAGGGCAATGGAAGTTAAGGAGCTGACTGTGGCCCAGAAGGAGGCTGAGCTGCTGCGGAAGGAGCTCAGGTAAATTGACAGGGACCGTTGAGGGGGCTCAGAGGTTGATGATGTGGGATTCTTCACAGTGCTCCCTTAATGACTGCCTTGTTTCCACCCTTGCTAATCCTAGCAAGACACAAGAAGATTTGACAGCTCAAGTGACCTTGGTTGAGAATCTGAGGAAATATGTAGGGGAACAAGGCCCTCTCGAGACCCCTAGCCAGGCATGGGAAACAGAGCGACAGGAGCTTCTGGACACTGTGCAGGTGGGAGAATACAGGATGTGGGTCTGGAGGGAGACACCAGAAATCAGGGTAGGGGATGTGGTCACCCTTGGAGGAGAGTATAGTACCTAAAAGGGTAGGCAGTGATGTTGCAGGGCCCAAACTGGCTGGTGCCCTGGAGCAGGCATGGAGCCCTAAGACACTCTACTCTTCCTCCCTCACAGAACTTGGAGGAGGACCGAGATGGCCTGCATGCAACCGTGGAGCTGATGCAGGTGCGTGTGCAGAGCCTCATGCACATGCTCACCCTGCAGGAGGAGGAGCTGCTTAGGAAGGTAGGGCCCTCCTGGGGCAGCCCATGGCCTCTGTTGCTTAGGCAGAACAGAGAAAAGCCAAAGATGGTACCTCCTTACTCTGTTGCCCCAGGAGCCCACACTTGTTCTCCATCTTCAGGTTCAACCTTCAGATTTACTGGAACCTGAGTTCACTAAGAAGTGCCAGTCTCTACTAAACCGCTGGCGGGAGAAGGTGTT